GGGTAAGTTTTAATCTTAACGGTGAGTCAAAAAGATTACAGTCTACACAACATGGATTTTGGGATCAATGTAGAAACCTGTATACACCTAAAATAAATGCAGAAAATGTCCTGGTTTCATAGATGGAAATGAAAGGAAACCTTTTTCCCTTTTAGCAAAAATGAACAGCGAATTTAGGAGAGAGAGACGTTTTCTGTTCTTATCAAACACTAGTGAGTTCAGTAAGATTTAGGCCAAAGGTAGATTTCAGCCACCTCTAGAACGACCTTCAGAGTCACATCATCTGAATACAAGTCTCTGGCCCCATCAGTGTACTGTGAAATAGCACCACTTACAAGTAGCTGCACAAAGAAAGAAAGAAAATGGACCCACCCTCTGAAAATGCTGCATTTTAGAGAGGAAAAGTAGGGTATGTCCTGGCTACAAATATACTAGGCTCGAAAGCACTTTTAAGTTTCCAGTCCAAAGGCCGTGTCCAACTCATCATGGCCCAACTCCATAACAAGACAAGACCCAGGATTACACAAACTCTTTATCCTGCCATCCTCATTCTTGTTTCTATGGAAAAGTAGTTCCAAGACACAGGCCACACGAGAGCCACGGCACACTCCAGAGACGCTTACCTGGACAATCAGAGGAACAGATCTATGAGAAACATCATGCAGGGACTCAGTAAGTGAATACGGACATAGTCTACCTTGATGAAACATAAAAATTAAAATGTGATTCAGAAATCTTTCTTTCAAGTGCAGCTTTCCTTCAAATGAATAAACTTATTTCCACAGAACCCCGAGGAATGTATTTGGTATACAGTATACAAACAATAAATATAAAAAATTCAGAACTGACATTTTAAAGATGATCTTCTAAATAAAAGTGGCCTGCTTTACAGCTTGCAAAGGACTCCAGAGGAATTTTTGATCCCCTCTGAAATTTGGGTGCTGTTATTTAGGAACTAAATGACACATTTGAATTCCAGTTTCATCCAGGCTAGAAGAATTTGATTTCCATGTCTCTCTTTTCCATGTCTACCTGTACAACAACTGCGGGTTCATACTTTTGAAGACTATATACATCTTTGTAGGTACAGTTCATGTTCCTCAACTGCATCTTGAGAGTCATATAAAAAGACCTTATTTTCACACTTGCTTTAGAAACAAACTAAAAATTACCGAAACCTCAACTCTGAATATTACTGGCCTTTCTGCAATAAAGATCTTACAAGGGCTCTTTGTACAACATGATCTGCTACATTTACCTTTTGAATCAAAGGCAGAGGTGTATGCATGGCACCGTGCAGTTAGCCGTGCATGAAACCAGTCGAAATGTTCAATGTTACTGTTAACATTCTTAAAAATACTGCAGTGAAAATCCGTAATTGATACAACAGACTCCATTCAAGTGCAAATAAGAAAACATAGCCTTAAAAACAAAATATCTATAAAAGCTTAACAAGAATAAATGTTTACAGGCACTTTTAAGGTAATATTTGGGACTCACCTACAAACTGCAGGAACAGCAAAGAGTACAGCTGGAATTTGGAACAGGAAGCAGCAACCACCCAAAACGATTACGATATACAGAAGCATTTCTACAGCTCAGGAGGTGCTAGGGAAGACGTTTGTCATCAGAAGCCCTAAGTTCCAGAGCAGTGAAGCTTTGTCCTAATGTCAGCTACCCTCTTCCTATTTATACTTCGTAACAACAACACTCCAGTCACTTCTGTCTTTTTTGGAAGCCGGATCAGGCAAAAATTTCTCTGTCTTTACTGGTGTGAACGGCAAACAGTTATTGGATTCACTACATCACTCTGTTTTTAATAGAAACAATCTAGGAATCTCATGAAGCTCGAGAGGAAAATGTAAAGTCCTGCACCTGGTGAGGAATAACCCCATGCACCTGCACAGCCTGGGGGCCAGACAGTTGGAAAGCTGAGGGTCCTGCCAGACAACGAATTGGCCATGAGCCAGCAATGTGCCCTTCTGTTCAGTACCCAGAATATCATTAGCCTTCCTTGCCGCAAAGGCGCAAAATAAAAAATAACAAAGTCAAACGAAATTTGTAAATAAAGAACACACCAGGATCCTTATTCATTTGGTAACTAGTAAGGAATTATGGAGTGAAGGACTCCGTAAGTGAAGTGGAGCGAATCTAGCATCTATTAAGTATAACCCAATGACATTATACTTTCCTATCAAGAATCCCCTTTAGCAAGAAACTAAATCGAGACTTTCACAGTCTACTCTGGACAAAGAATTTGCCTATTTAATGATTCCTCATGAGTTCAACACCATTTTGAGAATATCTGTAATATGTGGCATACTTACAGATGAACTATACTAAGATGCAGAAATTTTTTCTTAATTTAGTTAGAACTGTAAAGTTCAAAGCTCTTTCTGTAGTTAGATGCCTTAAGTCACTGTGTTTTGAGTTCTCTTTACTGCACTTTTAATATTCCCTCTACTCGTAAGTGTACTGCAGCGTATTTAATGCTTACACACATGCAACATAACTCCACCTAACAGATATGGGTTTTGTGCCTTCACCTCAGTTCCAAGTGTTTATGAGGTTATCCAGACTCTGTGCAGGCTTCTGCAAGCACAGCAACCCTGTGTTCTGCTCACTTACACTACTGCCTTGTTGAATACTGAATCAAGTCCAATGATCTGGGTGCAGATGTTGGGGGGTGTCATTTACCCTGGCACGTCATCCTCTCCGAACACATCTTTCAGAAAACGCATTCTTCAAAAACAACAGGACCCGTCAGCTACAAAAGTGAGACCACAGACCACCGGTCAGTTTTCTCAGCAGCTGGTCTATGCCTGTGGACGTCCACTTCTGAAAAACAGACCAGCTGCAGTAACACTCTTCTGCCTCTAGAAAAAAAAAACACTGACCTCTTAAATGCTGTGAGTGTTCTACAACTGAACGCTATCCAGAGAGCACGCGTTGCACTCTGCTGACTACGCTGCAGAGAGATCGGGGCTTTGGTAGGGGCAATGTTGACAGATGTGAAGGACACACCAGTCCTCTTTTTTTGTCTTTTTAACATGTTTGGTTAACACCTCTTTCCTTATCTAGCCTCTTATATCATTTGAGTAGCTGTAAGAGATACTGATGGTTTAGGTATTTTGCCAACTTCACTTTCACTGTTACTCCTCTCCATTCCTAGGCACCTCTGTCCCTCCTGAAAATACCTTCAGAAAGTACATACCTCTAAGGTTTGCATTAAAAATTCTACCGGTGGCTATACATTTCTATGATGTAATGATTCAAGTAAAGTGGAGCAACAAAGCAGAAGATTTTGCAGGATGGAACTGTCCTCCTTAAGAAATTAGTCAGAGGGTGGGGTCATGACAAATAAAACTTTCTCCCTCTCAAAAACTGTAGTTTTCCCAGTCCTTTGGGACAGGCAATGGAGATCATACTTCCTTTTCCTGGAAAACCAAGATTACCTGTAAAGACACGTAAAAATGTCTTCAGCTCCTAGACTCAACCAATTTTGCTGGGCCTCAGGCACTGCACTGCTTGCTTCAGAAGCTCCACAAGAATCAGTGGCTTTTGCTCTTCTGCAATTACCTTCATCTAGCCCGTAAGCAAATGGCCTAAATTCAGGTAATGGTAGACAGTCAAAAACTGGTTTTACTGATCTTTAAGATTAGCAACGTATGTCTCACTGGCTGTATGCTATCTACCCAAAACAAACCACCCAGCCTTGCTCATCTTTGCACATTACTACAATGAATCCCTAAGCAGGTACAAATGGGTACTACAGCAAAACTGAACCAAAAGCCAGAGCAGACATAATGTGCAGGGAAAATAAAAAACTTCTATGGTATCAAAAGTATTTCAGATTCTCCCTCTGTATTAACTGATTTCAACGAGTAGCTTCTAAAATATTGGAAGCTACTAATCTGTGCCACACCATAGCTCTCACAAGACAATACTGTATCCTACCTATCCTCTTCTAGTTAGAACCCTACCCCTGTGTACCTCCACACAGGTGGTAGGAATCATAGAATCATTTACGTTGGAAAAGACCTGTAAGATCATCGAGATCAACCATAAACCTAGCACTGCCAAGTCTACCACTAAACCATGTCCCCAAGCACCACATCTACACGTGTTTTCAATACCTCCAGGGATGGTGACTCAACCACTTCCCTGGGCAGCCTGTTCCAACATTTGGCAACCCTTTCGGTGAAGAAATATTTCCTAATATCCAACCTAAACCTCCCCTGGCGCAACTTGAGGCCATTTCCTCTTGTCCTATCGCTTGTTACCCACCTCGCTACAACCTCCTTTCAGGTAGTTGTAGAGAGCGATGAGGTCTCCCCTCAGCCTCCTTTTCTCCAAGCTAAACAACCCCAGCTCCCTCAGCCGCTCCTCATCAGACTTGTTCTCCAGACCCTTCACCAGCTTCATTGCCCTTCTTTGGATGCACTCCAGCACCTCGACGTCTGTCTTGTAGTGAGGAGCCCAAAACGGAACACAGTATTCGAGGTGCAGCCTCATCAGTGCCGAGTGCAGGGGGACGATCACTCCCCCTATACACTGGATTGTGTGCTGTAAGCACAGGAGTGGAGCACCGACTCCTGAATTTCCTAAGCCCTGAGTAGCCTAAGGAGTGCTACTTTCTGTACTGCACTTTAAAAGCCCATCACAAGTTGCATGGATGCTAATAATAGCAATATCAACACACGCTCGGGTTTGTAAGTCAACATTTGTATAAATAGCAGTAGAGCCACAGCAGATCAGTGCAGAAAGCTCACTTCATCTGGATGCAAAAGGAGAGACATCTCAAGCAGGCATATTTGCAGGTGGTGCCACCTCAGTAAAGGATGAGGAAGTTATCTGCAGAATGCACAATACCACAATCAAACTGACCAAGGGGGAAGAAAAAAAAGCCAGGACGCTCATAAAAGCCTTTCTTATGTGAGGAGACAACGAAGAAACTGTGATCACCCCCTGGAAAACAGAGACGGCAGCGCAGAACAAACCTCAACCACGGAAGGCTCTTTGTACGGTTAAGTCCATCGCTCAGGTCCTGCTCCTCTCGGCGGCCGCGGCAGCGTTCCAGGCGGGCAGGATCCAAGCCCGCGGGGCGCTCTACGCCAGCATCGGGGAGCTCGTGTGGCTGCCTTGTGCTCTGGCCTGCGCGGCCCAAGGCGCCCACGGGGCTCGGCTTCGG